AACTTCTTCAATGCTGCTTGTGTCTTCTTTTATAAGAGAGTGTACATGCAGAGTTTTGATAGTGAAGAAACCATTTGCAAAACAGAATGGAAGAAGCACCAAGCTTCAAAAAATTAAAGAAAGAAACGAGCTGCCACAGACCCGCCAAGGTAAGCGCTATGTGCTCACCATGGTGGAAGCAACCACTGGATGGTTAGAGACTTTTCTGGTGTCTCACACAACTGCCCAAAACATCATTCTGGGTCTTGAAAACAAGTACTCTGGCGACACAGCACCCCAGAGCTAATTGAGTCAGACAATGGGACTCATTTCAAAAACAGTTTAGTTACTACTTGGGAAAGGGAACATGGCATTGAGTGGGTATATCACATCCCATATCATGCACCAGCTGCTGGAAAAGTTGAGCGGTGTAACGGATTGCTGAAAACTACTCTGAAGGCATTGGGTGGGGGAACTTTCAAAAATTGGGATCAGCACCTAGCAAAGGCTACATGGCTAGTCAACACTAAAGGCTCCATCAATTGAGCTGGCCCTGCCCAATCAGAGTCCCTTCACACTGTGGATGGAGACAGTCCCAGTAACTCGAGAGGTATGTTAGGTAAAGCAGTTTGGGTTAACCCTCCCTCGAGCAAAGGGGCAAACCCATTCATCGGATTGTCTTTGCTCAAGGACCAGGATGTATCTGGTGGATAGTGAGAGAAGATGGAGAAACCCAGTGTGTACGTCAAAGAGATTTAACCTTGGGGAAAAACTAATTTGTATTCTGAGTTGTATGTTGCAGGAAATGAGTAACCAGACGAGGAAGACCCGAACTAAGCTGAAGGGAGCTGTTTTATCTTCCTAGCTAGCATTGAAAGACAGAGGAACACAGCTTTCCTTTCCACTAATTTAACTGTAGATAATCTGTTTCACGCTTGGATTGAAAGTCACTGTTTGTCCAGTTAGGAAAACAGACTGTGTACAGGAAGAAGCTTTTATTTAATTTGTCCTATCTGTATAGGATATGGCTATATACCCTATAACGTATACTTTGTAAGTTTTTTATAATGATTTGTGACAATATTTTCACAAAAAGTGTTATCTTTACAACAAAGTTAATTATTAATTCTGCCATTTTCCAGAGGTACATTAACATATTTTAAGCCTGGACTGAATCTTCCATATTCCCTCACATCCTCAATGAACGTTGCAAGGTCTGTCTCACTGTAGGTGAGCCCGGAGGCACACTGAAAATGAAAGTTAAGGCCTTCATACTGATAGGTTGCAACCAAACTGTGCTGCCAGACTGGAAGTCATGGGCTTAGGCTTGGATAACAAGGCTCTGTGCCCTCCAGACCAAGAACGGACTTAGGCACTGTGTAGCTAGATCAGGAATGCTGTCATGCAGCAATATCCCATGGTTAATGTTGAAGAGGTAAATTATTCATGGACTATTTTGCAGAAGGGCTTTGGCATAGTCTGCTGCAAGGGCAGTTGATACTTATCTGCAGTGCGAGCTCACACTGCCTTTAGAACTGTGTGAAGGCTCACAGTTGAAGTTGAAGCCATCTACCATGACATGGAGACAGAGGGATTATGTCAAAAGCAAGCTACACTGCGTCCTGCTCTGGTACAGTCCCTATAGGTAGAGTCTTAGGTTAGGCACCTAAAAATGAAGGTAACTAATTTTTTTTTTAATTGTTAAAATTGGGCCTCTTGATTCACAGTAATTTTTGTACCAATAACCTTCACTCATTGTCTAATTGCTACTACCTCTGTGTGCAGTTAAAAGGGCTTTTGTGTTCTATTAACAACTGAACAGGCTTTCACAGCCAGACCCAACCCCAAGTGCATGAAAAAAATTATTCCTTGTTTCAGTTTCACTCTAATTATTCAACAGGCTTTTGCTGATAAGAACACCAAACTACTCACCTGTTTCCTATTGCAGTTTAAGACCAGAATTAAGGCCTCTGTATACAATTTTGATTTTTTAACACCTAATCAAATCCTTCACACACAAATTAGTACTGAGATTAATAACTTTTAACTTTTTTCACTTTACCATTACACCAATCCAACCCAACAAAATGGCCATAGTCAGCCAAATAATATACAGTCCATTTGCACAGAGTAGGGGGAATACTTTAAGTTTCCAAACAGAGAAGAATAGTTAACATACTGCAAATTCATGTTGCTTTCCTTTATACTAATGTGGCATATAAAAAAGCCACAGAAGTAGCTCAAAGCAAGAACTCTGGCCCAGCATGGTTCACAAGCAGGAGTTTGCAATCTTCACAATCTGTTGCAAAGGCAGATTCTACAGTGGCAAGTATTTAAAGTATCAGCTCTTGTATGCTGAAAACACATTCCTCAGCTGCAAAATTACAGTAATTTTCTCATTCTGTGCTCTTTAGAAAATTCTTGCAGGTCTAATAATTCCAATGATAGTGAACAAGCATTTGCACCCTGCCTTGATGTAAGGGCTAATCACAGCCTCGTGGGACTTAGCTTCCCAACGAAAGCAGGATTGAAAGTTTGTTATGCTCTGCCCCAACACATCTCATAAATGTCCTGACAATCTTGTTTCACATAAACGATGCTATTTTAAAAGATTAACTAATTCTCTTTTACAAAGATAATAAAATCACAGGATATAGGGAGCATGTAAATTATTCAAATTATTCTAGTTTTTCTCACTTATCTTGTTTCAAATTAGATGCATGAATTATTATGTATCAACTTACTGGCTCCTTCTAGATATGTAAGACATGCAATTCATAAACTGTTTAAGAAAACTATGTAAGACTATTGCAGGTACGAATTGACACTTTTTTCCCACAAAATATGGAGCAATGTACAGTTTATTGTAACAAACCAAAACAATCAAAGTCAAAATTCTTAATCTTTTTTCTTCTAGTTATTCTAGAAACTTTTTTTAATTTTTGTACCATTCCCTAATCAGGATGCTTTGCACTTGCTTTTGCAATTCAGGACCAGAACAAAAGACTGTCAAGACAATCTCAAACATTAAATATACATAAATTTTATTGCACAAAATGGAGGGGGGTGGGAGGGGAGAACTGGCCTGTCTCTGTCAAGTACTTGTCTCACAGGAACAGGGAATGGTGGGGATGAGTAGTGCCCAGTCAGAATCCCCAAAAAGCCTGGGATGAGTGAGCCAGTCTTCAGTACAAATACATCTGAAAACTCTTTTCTCTCTGCCTTGGATTGTCTCCAAAATCAATTTCTTTATAGGCTAAGACATGAGATGACCCAAGAGCTGGATTATAATACATATTTTCTGAGGACAGATGGAAGGAGCAAATTTGCATGAAACATTGTTTTCTCTAGGGTTTTCCATAGTTTGGTAGAAAAGCTTTAGCTAAGAATGGGTTTGGAAGGACTGGATCTAGAAACGGTCTTCTTGAAATTGTGTCAAACAGCCATGTTAGATCATGGCAGCACAGGTGTAGGTACTCGGTTCAGAGTATCCCAAAGGGGAAGGGGAAAGGAAGAATTAACCTGTTCAGTGCCCTATGAAGCTTCTAAAAAGTGTAACAGAAGTAATGAAAAAACAGCTTCTTGCTGTTTGGTTAGGGACACCTGTTCCTCGCAAGCAACCTGTGTGACCATGGAACCATATGTTCCTGGCACAGTTGTGTACCTGCATAGATTACAATACACAGTAAATATATATAATGTACAGTGAATGCATTGGAGGGGGAAAAGAAAAAAGGAAACAATTTCTGAGGTATATGTGAAAAACCTTTCTGTCTTTTGGCATTAGTTGCCATTTGAAATTTAAAAGAATGACTGTAAGCGGACTTGGAAAAATGTAAATTCTTCTTCTGAGAGCAGCACTTTGACTAACATGACTCTCATTTTTTAAATTAAAATAGATATTCTCTCATGACATTATAATTAATTTGGTGATATTCAGTATTTATCCAGTGAACCATAAATATGCCTAAATTGTTTCTCTCAGGCAACTTCTCATTAAAAATCAATTACTTATCATGAAATGTGAAAAATAATTCAGGCACTACCAAAGTGCATGCATGATTACAATGAAAAATGTGCACCCTTTAAAGTAGTTATCAATTCCCTCAAATACCTACCAAAACTGGCATAAGAAATGTCTCTTAAAAAACACTTAACTACAAGCCATAATATCTGGCTTCTGCTAATTGCTCTGGAAGTCCTTCACCTTCGTTTTTAAATTTACAGAATGACAGAACACAGTGTTGGAAGGGACCTCTGGGGATCATCTAATCTAACCTTCCTGCAAAGGCAGGGTCACCTAGAGCAGGTTATACAGGAACGCATCCCAGTGGGTTTGGAATGCCTTCAAAGGAGGAGACTCCACAACCTCCCTGGGCAGCCTATTCCAGTGCTCTGCCACCCTCAGTGTAAAGTTCTTCCTCATGTTGAGGTGAAACTTCTTGTATTTTAGTTTCTGGCCATTGCTCCTCGTCCTGTGGCTGGGCACCACCGAAAAGAGTCTGGTACCATCCTCTTGTCACCCGCCGCATTTACTTGATAAACAACTTAATCACTCTGTGCTTCCATCAAGATATTAAAAACAGGGTCTTGAATCGTCAAGCTTCTGCCTGAGCACTTCGCTCTTCACGTCACGTTCTCCCGACGGTGACAGCGAGAGACACTCCCGCCTGCAGCACCGTGTTCCCCTCAGGAGCCCTTCAGGAACAGGGAAGGGCGGGTTACAGTGGTGGTGTAGCCGTATCCCTGTGCCGCTTTTATGATACGGAGAACATGATCTCGCCAGCGTTACCTGCGCTTCCCAGTTCACGTCCGGCTGCCAGGGGTACCCAGCCATCGCACAGCCGTGCCCCGGCACAGCCCCAGCCCCAGCTCGGGCCCCCGCCGCCCCGGGGCGGTGCTCGGTGACGGACGCGCGGAGCGCAGCGGGCCGGGAGCCCGCGTTCCCGGCGTGCCGGGATGACGGAGGCGGAAGCGGCCGGGGAGGATGTAGCGCGGCTGACAGCGGCTGCAGGCCGCGACCTGCCGCCCCTGCCGCCGGCCGGCCCCGCCATGGAGGTAACGCGGCTGGGGAGAGGGGGCGGCGGCCTTCGGGGGGACGGGAGCCGGAGCGGGTGGGGAGGGGGCCGTGTGTGACCTTGGGGTGCAGCGCGGCGGGGCCGGGGAGGGTGAGGACCAGCCCCTTCTCCTTCCGCCTCCCCCTCCACGGGGTCCCTGCCCGAGGGGCCCTTGCTTCGCTTCCTCGCTGCCCCCGCGGGCGGCGCAGCCCCAGTGGGCGGCAGCTGTGCGGGGCCCGCCCGGGCCAGGGTGGGAAGGGGCGCTCCGGCCCTGCCCTGCGGAAATGCGAGCGCCGGTGCGGGCTACAAGGGGTTGCTCAGTGCCCCTCCTGCTTGCGGGGTGGGGACGTCGCGCTGTTGTCCGGGTCGGGGGAGCGCAGGCTGTGCTGGCTCCAGGGCAGTGACGCTCAGTGACACGGCGGGTGCGCCGAGTGCTTACTCTGTGAGAGCACCCGCGGGCCAACAGGGGCTCCTGTTCCACTGCGGTGACCCGGTGTGTTAACACTACGTCAGCGGTGAAATACCTACCAACACAAGCAAATAAATCACTGAAGCGTCTGTATCTAGTGTAGCTTTCATAAACACCAAGGCAAATCCAAGTACAGCGTAGAAGAGTTTAAAGTTCATGCATTAAATTGACTCTACTGGTAATTACTCTTGGTAATATCCAAGCTGCTCACGTTCTAATGGAGGTTCAGTGCCGCTGTTGAAGCAATCACAATTCAAAAAGTGTTTCGATGTGACTTGGTATGCTTAAGAGTTGGTGATGCTTAGTATTTGTACACTGCTCAGAAAATTGCTGTTTGTAATGGTCATTAGTGCCACAGTTCACAGCAAAGACTAATATATAGCATTGGTTAGGCTTTCTAAGGCTTTTTTTCTGTGTTAAGCTATTGTAAAAGTGAGGGACAGATAGCAGTTAAAATACATAGAACATGTTGAAGTGTGGCATGGAAACAGCTTAGAGTAGATCAAGTAGGCTTGAAATAAAAAAAAAAGAATGTAGATAGATAGATAGATATCAGTAAAGTATGGAAGCATACCCTGGTTTCAGAATAGTGGACTAAAAACTTAAAAATCCTTGCAGGATTCAGTGTTGGGCTTAAAAGAGTACTTACTGTCTGCTGACTTGCAGCTTGGATGCACCTAATCAATGAGAAGTTTAGGGTCTTCTAGCAGTTCATCTTCCTTGTTGTTCTTCTGTTTCAAATGGGTGAAGCCCTTTACGTGAACTGCTTCTGGGTTCTGTTACCAGAACAGCAAAACTGGATGTGTTGTTTTACACAATATATGGTTCTGCCTCTGTATGTATTAGCTTAAAGAAGAGTAAAAATATTGTGAGAAAAAATTCATCTGACCTTGCTGTAGTATGGAGAGACATGAGCTGTTATTTTCTAAACAGCACATGTGGTTTGCTATACTTAATTATGCTGTCTAGTGACAGTGACTGCTTGTAGTGACAGTGTTTTGCTAATTGCACTGCTGAAATATTGAGTGTAACTATTAACAAAGTTTTATATACCAAGAGAATATGAAACTTAAACCTTATAGCTTTTTTTAGTGCTGTATTTATATTTAATGGGCACATTATTTTTTAATAAGTTTGCTTTTGCCATCTGAAAAAAAAACCCCTTTTGGCCCATGTGATACATACATCACATGTATAACTGCCTTTGTCCTTGGCCTCTACTTGAACTTATATTTCTAATGATGATCCTTTTTATTATCTGTATCACCTCTTCCCCCTAAATTGTTAGTGATTCTCCATTCTCATAGTGTTCAGATCCAGTTTAGTTTTTCCTTAGTTTCTACTATAAGGGTTTTGGTTTTTTTGGCAGAATAAAGAAAATAGCAAAATAAAAGTGAAGGTGTGTGTGTACACGTACATACACACACAAACATGTAGATATGTAAAAATACAAATATTTATATATATACATATGCCTCTTCACTTTCATACTCATGCACATATGATAGTATGAAGGAAGAAGCAGGGTAAAGATCAAAACTTGGAAATGCTACCCTTAATATATTGGAAGTGTCTGTTCCATTTTCCTTTGCACCATCATGGCTATATATGTTTCTTCATGTTGTTGATCATATACAAACATATCTCATATAAATCACAGTAAAATAACAGAGTCCTACAGATTAGATCTGTGGAAGTTTACAGTAGAAGGCATTATGAATTTGTTAGGAATAGGGACCCAGAATTTGCGAGCTTTTTCAGATACATTTGTCAGGCCAGCAATTCTAGCAGTAACTAGTATGTTTAAAAACAAAAACAAAAGGGGGAGTTATAATTTGGGGTTTAAAAGAGTCCTAACTTTGCAGAGTCATTTAAAATATAATTTGTTAGGCCAACAATTTTAGCAATAACCAATGTGTTTAAGAAACAAAAAAAAATATTAGGACTTTATGTGGTTCAAAACTTCCCAAAGTCTGATTTAACTGCAGCCCCTCTACAAGTTTTTTTTTTGTTCATGCCTTTTTTCTAATGTCTCTTTTAAGAATGAGATAGTGAGTCACACTTTTTAAGCTACTTGTAAATAAAATTATTTTTCAGTGCTGTATCAACTCTAGATGTCAATTCAGTAATGGAATCATTAGATCATACCGGTTTGCACATCGAGATTTTTCTATTCTGCTGTTCTAGTAATCGTGGTATCTCTTTTCCATTATGCTTCTGACTAGTCCTACAAATATATATTGGTTTTAAATTTTATTTTAATTTTTTTCTTGTGCTCTCACTATATTCAGTTATTCTCAGTGTTTGAAGACTTTCAATTAGCTCCTTAAGTAATTTTACATTAAAAAGTTAGTTACTGCAGATTGTACTTTATTTTTTATAGGTTCAAGATGCTGGGCCGGAGATGGTGGCGTCTTCTGGCACACCAGGATCAGGCAAATCAAAGGTAATCAGTCCTCAAAAATTTAATTTATTTGGATAGCAATAGTTGAAAGAGTTACAGCTTAGCATGCAAGCTGTGACTCACGAAGACATAAAGGTATTTTTAACGTTTCCTGTCTTCTAGACAGGAAAAATTGATTTATAAACACTAGGATAAGGTGTCTTGGAAAACACGAGGAAAAAAATCTCTTCTTTATATGTTCCTGTCATGGTTTGAGATAGCCCCAAAATCCAATCCCCTAGCTCCATTCCCTAGCTCCCTTCTGTTATATTTGATAAATTATTAATAACATCCAGTTTTGGCAGTAGTCTGTTTCACAATGGTCACACACATCTTAGCATATGTTGGAAGTAAATTTAAAAAATGGCAATATTAGGACAGCATGCTATTTTCAAAACATTATTCAAATTATATTACTGAATTGTAATCCTTCCCAACTGAGTTTTCCTCTCTAACTGATGCTGCCCGATTCTGTGCTCCAGAATTATTTCAGAAAAGTATACAATTAGGAATAGTTTCTGTTATTGCACTTGGAATAACAGAATTGGATGACAGAACGGCAGTAACTTGGACTGTTACTCTTCTTGCATATGCATGGTAAGAGTTTCTTGCCCTAAAATTCAGCTTCTTGGAAGTCAAATGTTAAAATGCCCTGTTTCTGTTAATGTCTGGGTTAGAGAAAACTGATTTCTCTAATATGTACTTTTTTTACAGCTGGACACATTGCCCAAAGAAGACCTCATTAAGTTTGCAAAAAAGCAGATGATGCTTATGCAGAAAGTGAAGTCAAGATGTACAGGTACCTTACTGGAAAGAGAACAATTTCTGCCTTAATGCTTAGTACTATCTTACCTTTTCTAATATCACTGCATATTTTTATAGGTAGATTTAAATTCTAGACAAATATCCTAGTGTTTTTTTTCTGCAGTTTCACTGTTTATTGTGGATGAGTAGAGTCTGAAGTCCTTTGAGTAAGAATGGGAAGAAAAAGAAGCATTGCTTTTGTCAGATATTAAATTAATTTTGATCTGGCAGTATGGACATGATGGAACAGTGTAGCTTGTGTAAAAGTTGCAGTAGGACATGTCATTGTCTGTTTCCCATATTGGTTCAGGGATAAATAGCTGTTGCTTTTCAGGAAGCACATGGAAGGGGAAATGTCTGTGATAGTTTTTTGCATAATTAGTACTGTTGTAGAGCACAATGGCTTCTTTAAGATAGTTAGCTACTTTATATTTAATCAGGTTTAGGTTAGATATTAGGAAGAAATTTTTTACAGAGAGAGTAATCAGGCACTGGAGTGGGCTGCCCAGGGAAGTGGTGGATTCTCTGTCCCTGGAGGTTTATAAGATAAGACTGGATGTGGCACTTAGTGCCATGGTCTAGTAACCACAGTGGTAGTGGATCAAGGGTTGGACTTGATGATCTCAGAGGTCCTTTCCAACCTGGCTGATTCTATGATTCTATGATCTGCTGCTATAACAAGAAATTGTAAACTACACAAAACAAAATATTATGTTAACCACCTAAAAGTATCCTGTGTAAATCTGTGCTGTCATGTGCTACCCTTCTCTGCTCTGCTGTCCCCTTTCCTCCAGTGGTCCATTACTGAGACTTGTGTCACTTCCCCTCGTTTGGAATTACAATTAATTAATTATGCTGACTGCTGGTAGCTGCCCAGTGAAACAATAAGGATATAGGGATGGGCTATACCAGGCTTTTCCTCAGTGGGGTTACTCATAAGATCTTGTTTTTCTGCCTGCTGCCATGTTCAGAGAACCAGTAGGTACTGAGTATCTTTCCTCTGGCTTAAATTGATCATGAAATAGAAGGTAAGATGAAGAAAAAGAATTTCTGTCTGTTGTCCCTCTGTCCAAACAAGGAAGTTTCACTTCCTCAGAAAACAATGCTCAGTGTCAGAACTGGAGAAGTAATACTGAATATTTGTTCTCTTTCCATTAGTCCTTTCTATCACTCAGTAACAAATAAAAATTGATGAAGTAAAAGATATCTCTGATTTGAATAGAAGTGTTGTTAGGCACTAGATTTACTAGGATTTCCTAGAGATTTGCTACTGTGATGGAGCATCCATTCATGCTGTGAAATTTCTTTGCTTTTTTGAGAACTGGAGAAAGAGATTGAAGAACTCAGATCTAAAGCAGCTACTGCAGGAGCTGATGATATTATTCAGGTAGGAATATGTAATGGGTTTCTACTGTATTACATAAAGTTAGCTGAAATAAATCCACATAAATAATTTGGTAAATAGCTTTAAAACTGTTATTTAAATTGCATGGAATCAATTTTCAGGAATATAAGACACTTCCTAAAACCTTTTTTTTTTTTTCCCTCCTCCCCCCAAGTCCTTCCTCCACTTGTCATAAATCCTATTGGCTCTGTGAGGAATTATACAGAATAGTACAATTTCCAGGGAGAACTTATCATGGCCCTTCAGTACTTGAAGGGGGCTTATAAGATGGGGACAAACTTTTCAGCAGGGCCTTTTGTGATAGGACAAGAGGCAATGGTTTTAAACAAAAGGAGGGTCAATTTAGATTAGATACAAGGAAGAAGCTTTTTGCAGGGAGGGTGGTGAAACACTGGAAAAGGTTGCCCAGAGAGGTGGCAGATGCCCCATCTCTGGAAACATTCAAAGTCAGGTTGGACAAAGCTCTGAGCAACCTGATGGAGTTGAAGATACTCCCTGCTTATTGCAGCGGGTTTGAACTGGATCACCTTTGAAGGTCCCTTCCCACCCAAACAATTCTGTAAATGTCCCCAGCAAGACTTTTTCCTTGTGTAGCTGGTTAGACAGGCTTTTGTTTATTTTGGAGTGGTCATTGCAGAAAGACTTCAGCCATTTAGAAAACTTCTGGGCCAGTCATTTGATGAGATTAGAAATACATAATTAAAGTTGCATGTCACAAGAAGTACTTTTAGGAAAGTAACTCGAATAGTTTTGATGTGGCAAGAACATGTCATTTTCAATGTAAGGGTCATAGCTTACAAAAGTAAAAATTGGTAGTGAGGAGGACTTTATCAGTTGGAGAATCGTTTTGAATAATTTGGAGGGACATTTCTACAGAAGGCAAACTTCCCCACCACCACCTGGTGATTAAAAATTAGCTGATCATAAGTAGGATTTTTAACAGAACCAACATCATTGTTTTAGTCTACCTATTTCATATCAGTCTTATTTGGGCTGAAAGTAATTTTTAAAATCAGACTGATGTGTTTAACTGACAAAAGGGGTCATAATCAATATGTGAGTTCCTACATTTTTCAGAAATCATTGTTTCCATTGTTAACAAACCCCTCTTTCAGTGATGTTTCTCTTTTAATATTAGGCTCTCACAGAAAGACTGGACGTTGTACTTCTGGAAAAAGCTGAAAGTCAGCAGCAGTGCATTGCTCTGAGAAAAGAAAATATTCAAATAAAGCAAGAAGGGGAGGTACTGAAATGAGCCATGGAATATTACAAAAATATTTCAGAATTCTGTTTATTTTCTAGGTTTGCTTGTTGCGTTTTTTTTAATTTTGACCTTTTTCTTCACTTACCTGTGTTCGATCTTTTAAAAAATCTAAAAAGATCTAAAGGCTTCGTATATTAAAGCATATTTTCTCTGTACCCCCTAATCCATAGTAATAAATATGAAATTCATATATACATCGTCTAGATCCACACCTGCAAAAAGAATTCAGTCTCTGCATTAGCAGCCTACATATGTTATGGCTTCAATCATTCAGCTCTGTCTTTTCATGGGAGATATAAGGTTTACATTTAGATATTCATGAGAAGGAGCCTGTCAGCCAAGGCACCTATCTTATATCAATAATCTCAATTAGTAATAAAATGAAGAGTGAATTGCATGCGATTGATGAAGAATATTATATTCCAGATACTTGAATTTGATGTACTAAAAGTAATTTGATCTTTAATATGTTATCAGGATAATTGCTAAAGCTGAAGTCTGTTCTGAACATTTTGTGAAATTATTCTGGTAAACATGATTTAGGATGTAGTTTTCCTTTCTCATTCTGCAAATGTTCTTGTACTCTGTAGTGTTTGAATTGTCTTAATATAGTTAGATATTTAAAAACTATAGCAATTTTTAAGACTAAGGACTCCTATATTTTCTAATTTGTTATTGTAAACAGTTCATTTGAAAATTCTGTATGCTAAATAACCAGTATTTAATAACTTCTTTGTTTGTTCAGGCTGCAGTGGCTAAGACAGAAGAATTGCAGAAAATACTGGAACAATCAAGTATTGACTCTCTGGAAGAAATAAAAGCTTTGAAGTGTGAATTAGCAAATGCACAATGCAAGCACAATGAGGATTTAAAAAAGCTGAAAATGGAATTAGATGAACAAGTGAAAAAACAAATGGAGCTGATGGAACAGGTTGAACGTCATAGTGACAGTCAAAAAGAAGTTACAAGATTACAAGATGATGTCCAGAGAATGAAATCTACCTATGAGGAGCAAATTTTGTGTCTGAGCAAGCAGTTGGAAACTGTGACCGAAGACAAAACCAAAGAAGTGACAAGTCTGCAAGAAACTATTAAAAACAACTCTCAATGTTACCATAATGAAATAAAAAATCTGAATGAAGAGCTTAAAAAATTAAAAATTGCCCATCAGGAAGAGGTGTCAGAATTGATGCATCGGATTGAAATATCATCTAAAGAAAATGAAGAAAAGCAAAATCAAATAAATGAGTTACAGCACAATTTGGCAGAGAAAAATGCAAAGGATGAAATGCATTGTCATACTGACCAGCGCGAATACGACTTGGAGCAGCTGAGAGAAGTCTTAAATAAAAATGTAGAAAACAAGATAGATATTGCAGATACACCAGAAGAACCTTACATAGAAGCAAAAATGGAAGCAAAGGTTAGGTACCTGGAGCATAGTTTAGAAGAACTCCAGTCCCAACATAGTATATTAAAGGATGAGTTAACTTACATGAGCAATGTCAAACTAAAGCTGGAGGAGGAAATCCATCGCATAAAGGATGAGTACTTTCATGAGCGGGAAGATTTGGACTTTAAGATAAATGAATTGCAGCTTGCTAAAGAAGATTACTGCTGTGTAATTGAAAAACTAAAATTGGAGCTTAAAGCAGCAAGACAGCACTATGAAGCTGATTTAGAAGAGCATAAATTAGAGATTCAAACTCTGAAAGAGCAACACAAGACAGAAATTTCTGAATTAAATGAAACTTTATTATCTAGTTCTGAAAAAGAAAAGATGGTATTAGTTTTTGAAATACAGGAACTTAGAGAACAACTTGAAAAGCTAACTCAGGAGAAAGAAGAAGCAGTGTCCAATTACAATAGCCTGAGAGAAACAATGGAAACTCTCCAGGCTGAGCTAGGCGAATCTGCTGGAAAGATCAGCCAGGAGTTTGAATCAATGAAACAACAGCAAGCTTCTGATGTCAGTCAACTGCAACAGAAACTCCGAGCTGCTTTCAATGAAAGGGATGTTCTTCTTGAAACTGTAAATCGCCTCCAGGAAGAAATAGAAAAATTGCCATCTAATCAGCTAGAGATAGAAGAACTTAAATGCAAAATTGTTAGTCTTCAGGAGGACAATAACGCAATAAGAAGCTCCATCAACCAAAAAGAGATTACTGTAAAAGAACTGGAAGAGAAGATAGTTGCTCTTACTGATCAAAACAAGGATATTTTAAATGATGTAAAATGTTTGGGTGAAGAGAGAGAAACCCTTCAGGAAAGGTGCAAGCAAGAACAAGTTAAAATTCAGGAACTTCAGCAAGAAGTAGATGTTGCTAACCAGAACAATAATGACCTGACGAAAAAGGTAGAGGAATTAACAGAGAGACTGAATGAAGCTTTAACTACAAAGACTGAAAATGCTCAAATGCTAGAGCAACTGGAAAAACAGATTGAATCTCTGGTACATGATAGAGAGCAGCTTTCATCTGAAGTGTATACTCTTCATGAGGAAAATAAGAAAATCATTCAGGAAAAAGGTGAATTAAGTGAAGAGCTGGGAAAGATTACATCTGAAAAAGATGGTTGGTTAGTGTTGAAAGAGCAGTCTGAAAACTTAGAAAAGAAACTACAAACGATGACTGCAGAAAAAGACCATGTATCAACATTACTCGAAAATGAACAAAGGCACACGTCCCTTGTAAGAACTCAACTGTACCACCTAGTTGAGAAAATGGGGTCCGACATTTCAGAGTCTAATGAAGAATATGATTCTGTTAACTTGTTAAAAATTGCAAATGAATGCCTGTCAAAAATTAAAGAAAAGCAGTGCCTTGCTCTACAAAATGAGGAGGAAGTAATTCATTTGCAGCGGGAAGTTGAGAGACTAGAGGAAGAACATGCTGCTCAATATAGAGAACATAGATCCCTGATTCAGGATTTTGAAAAAGAAAAGGCTCTCTTGAGAGAGGAACTGGAAGGAGTGTTGTCTGAAAAGGAAGCTCTTCAGCATGATATTCAGGAGCTGAAGAATGCCAGTGAGAAAACAAGGATTGAAAATCAAGATCTTTTAGCTAATATTGAAGAGATCACTCAAAAACTTGCTTTTTATGAAAGTCCAATGCAAGAACAGGAAAAAGGATCAGAAAAAAAAGACGACTTAAGTTGCATTCTGGAACAAAAGGAAACTGAACTTAGAAATGTGAAAGACGAACTGAGTTCTCTAAAGGTTATATTTTGTTATTGAAGTATACAGACTAAACCTCTAAAGTCTTCAGAATTAAGGTTCAAAAAATACTTTCAATTCTCTCTTTTCTTCTTTTATTTTTTTTCCCCTTGGCCTGAAAGTGAGTTCCCCTTCTGGAAAGCCCATCTAGCACCTCAAAGTCACCTCCCTCCCCCTGAAAAAAAAAAAAAGAAACAAAACCAATCATAATTTTTTTTTGACAAAAGTTACTTGTACTTGAACCTTTGTTCCTATCAATAGCCCTCAAAGCGATCATTTGACTAGATGGACTAACTGACTTCATCATTTTTCACCTCTTACTTTCTATGACTCCATCTCAAACAAAACTTCTGCTTGATCTGCATTAGATACTCCTAACTTCAGGTCATGGGAATTGCTGGCTGTGTAAAACTGACAGCTGCAGAATTAATGGTCTCCCATTTTTTGTCCTTGGACAGAATGGAAAGCAGCTGTTAAAATGTTGGAATGTTTTGCTTTCAAGTAACTATGCTTTCAACAAAATTTCTCTTAAAGACTTTCTTGGTAGTATGAATGTAGACAGTTTTAGCTGTAGCTGGAACTTCTGATGGCTTGTTAGGGAAAAAAGAGATATCACAAAGAAATTTTTGTAATACTTTTTATGTCTTTGTTTATAATACAGAATTTAATGGAGACAATGACTGAGAAAACTGATCAGCAGTCTTCAGTAGCAGAACTTCAAGAAAAAATTGGTATCTTTCTCACTGTTCTCTTTTATATAAATGGTCTGGGTTCTTTGGATTGTTAGTTTTTCTTTTCATAATTGTCCTGTATTTCCTACAAGCCAAGGAAGATGGGGAAGTACATATCAGTGCAACTTCCTACTAGGAAGCTATTCCTTCCACTAGAGATTTAAAATATTGTTAGCAATTTTAAGTTGGATATGATATGATATTTCTTAAGGCTTTTTCTTCCTGTGTACGTCTGGCTATAAACAGTGTAGTGGATTTAATCTTTATTTTTTAAATATGGGAAGTGCGTGAATAAGAATTCCTAAGGCTGCCAAGAGGAGAAGGAAACAATACTTCACGAAAACTACTCTTGCCTCATTGCAGTTATCCCAACACATTAGCAAGAAAATGGTTCTGAGTTGTTAAAATTTATGTAGAAGTAGACAGGAATATGGCTCTTAATGTTAACTGTGATGGAAAGCCTCTGAAACAGGGAAAGATTGTCCCTAAGCTGTCTGTGTCCATGTTTTAGCTTGAAATTAAATTTAAATGTTTAACTGAATTAAACACTTGAATATCTCCCCTTTATATTTTGTTTGCTTTTAAATTCATGCTGATATTTGTGTTCTAATTGAATTTCATTTCATTTCATTTCTTGGGAAGAAATAGGTGTATTTTTTTAATTTTCTTATTTATTTATTTTAGGGAGGCTGGAAAAAGAATCTGCAGAAAAAGGAGAGAAGCTAAATAAAATTAAGGTGGTTGCTGTGAAAGCAAAAAAGGAATTAGATGCCAGCCGAAAAGAGGTACCCTAACTGTTTCCTAATATGAAGAACATTCTGCATGTGGGGTTCTGTTTTAATGACACAACTTCTTTTTAATAAGATGCAAGCTCTGAACGAAGAATTGGAGTTGGTTCGATCAGAAAAAGATCAGTTGTCTGCTTCAATGAAAGACGTTATTCAAGGAGCTGAAAGCTATAAGGTAAGAATAGTACTGCATTTGCAAGACAGTTAACTGTAAGAAAATACTTTTGGTGTTGAAGCCTAGCCTGGATATTTATTGCTATTTATTTGCACAACTATGTTTGGCAAAAGAAATTGTGTCAGTGCAGTTGGATACCAAAATCAAGAAATGTAAGGTTCTAGTAATGGACTTGACTGCTGTCAGAAGAAAAGAAGGCACTTGCTTTCTACTGGAATGCTGTTTCTAAACCTTTTGAATCTAGCATCATACATCAGACATCAGACATTAAGCAATGTGTTGCTGAGGCAAAACATAAATCCTGACAAATTCTTCAAAGTACATAAAGTTGAAGGTCAGTTTGAAAATCCTTAAGTGATAAAGACATGAACTAATGTTTCTCTGGGAGCATATCTCTGGGCACATGAAGCAGAAGCAGGTGACAGTCAGCATTGCTTCAACAAGAGAAAGCTGTTCCTCGTAAGACTTATGAGGAGGAACATAATAGGAGCCTTCCAGTACCTCCAAAGACATTATCAAGGACAGAGAATCAGGTTATAAATGGTAGTGCAGGATAAGACAGTAGTCCTAAATTGAAATGAGAGCTGGATACATGGATAAACATTTTTAGCCTGTGAGATGCTTGAGCTTTAGAACAAGTTGCCCAGAGGACTGATGCCATCTCCATCCTTGGAAAGACCTGATTGGACTAAAGTCTGAGTTACAGGTTTGATCTCACTGCTGACCCTACTTTAAGCAGAAGGTCAAATGTAGACCTGCTGAGGTCTCTTCCAACCTGAACTATTCCAGAATTTCATTGCCTGAAAAGGGTTTTTCCCAGAGTTTGTAGTGGAATAATAGCATTAATTTCATTGTGATGTTTCTGGTGTTGCAGTAAGACGACTCATACACTGAAATATCAGGAAGATGAGTAGGCCTCTGAGATGAATGTGCTTATGCAATATGTGTATTGTAAAAAATATTTGATTTTGTGTTTGTATGTGTTAAGAATCTTTTGATGGAATATGATAAGCAAGGAGAACAGCTGGATTCTGAAAAAGGCAGAGCAAATAATCTTGAACGTCAGATAGATGACCTCACAAGACAGCTACAGGTGTCATCCCAGCAGGTCAGTTCTGTATGTGGGTCTGATCCATTGATGATTACTGTAAAAATCCTATCTACTGAGTGTAATTTTTAATCATGTCCTTGTTAGCACTGTTTCATAGCCTAAGTCCGTTTTGAATAGTGACTTGTAATTCAGGGTGGTTTGTTTGTTCTTTTTCAACATCTGATATCTTACCTGGGCCATGACAAAGGTAAATATATCTAGGGTGTTTGGCTTTGTCAGTAGAAAGAGTTTAATCTGCTCCAGGTCAACTTACAGGAAAGAGCAAGTGTTTATCTCTGGGTTTGTTTAAGAATACAACTCTTCTGCAAGTATCAAACTTGCACTATTTCTCTGATTGCATAGCTACACTTCTCATGAAGTGCAGTAACCTTTATCTGAGAAATGTTTTTCTTCTGTTTCTTCAACAAAATGTGGGTTTGGGTATTTTTTCTCTTTTTTTTTATTTATTTAATCAACAGAATATTTGAACATACTAAATTAATTATGGTGTTTTGCATTTTTCACAAGGATGAGACTTTAGGATGCATTGTAGAGTACCATAGTATCATTCAGAAGAGTCTAACATGGTAATTAAGCAGCTGTGAGACACATTTTTGCAAGGGTGGCTGCAATGGGTTTAGTGTTTAGGATTTAAATTCCAGGTCCCATACACTGAAGATTTAACTAGGCCACCATTTCCTTATAAATACAAACCAGTAGTGAGAAACATAGGAAGATATAAGAAATTATATTCTGCCTGATTATGCAGGCATTGAATTTTTCAAGTTTGTTAAGAAGTAACAGTTCTTACTATGTACTGATATGATCTCTTGGAAGACTTGGTGGTTCAATCAAGGCTTGCAGTTCAATCTTTTTAGGTGTTAGTAGTATGATCATTTGTTTATAAATACAGCACCTGCATCTGGAGTGGGACAATAAGTATTGAAACGCTGTATTATTGCGAGAGGAAGGTGATTCTTGCAGAAAGCATAAATTTGGGGATATTTTTTTCTGATTTCTTTTAATTCTAGCCATCATACAGAAAGCTGGGCAAATTAACTCTGAACAAAATAATCAAAATGTGCCAGTGACTTTAATTTAGCCTAGTTTTAGCCTGTTTCTTAATCTGATTTAACACAATTAAGCTGGACAAGACTCATCTGTAGGAGTGTATATCTTATCTGACAAAATCACACACAAATTCAGCTATGTTTTTTATCTTTTCATGATTACAATTTCAGCATGATCAATTACGCTCTGCTAATGAAGACCTCCTGGCTCGTGTTGAAACACTGCAAAATAATGCTAAGCTGCTGGAAACTCAGATATTGGAGATGCAAAGAGCCAAGGCAAAGGCTGACAAAGAACTAGAAGCTGAAAGGCTTTTAAGAGAACAGAAAACAAAGGTAGTACTTTGTCGAGATAGTGAATGGGCTGAAGCGTTACTTTCACTGGATGTGATTTCTGTTAGACCTTGGTAACTTGTGTTTTCATATATCAAGTTCCATGCTTTCTCTTTGTGTTCCTTGACTGTGTTTATTGAAAACTATTTTGTGTTTTTCTCTGGTTCCTAGTAATTTCCTAAAAAAAGGAAGAATTATCTTTATACAACCTAAGTGTGTATGTGTGTCTATAAGTATAAACAGATGCTGACATGTATTTTGAAATTGGACTGCATAACTGAGAAGTATTTAAATTTCAGGAACATAGTGGTGCTCTCCGAGAAATGGAGGAGCTTCAGATGCAACTTCAGAAGGAAAAGAAACATCTGCAGAAAACTATGTTAGAACTAGAGCTGGCCAGAAAGGTAGGGCTGGTGTTTTTGTTAGTGCTTAGTGGACTACCAAAGATTTTGGCCTATCTTGCTGTGTTGAATGTCCTCCCGTTCTGTTCAGAGGATTTTAAAGCCTGAGGTGTGTAAAAGGGAAAACGTGAGAGCTTTTGCCCCTGGTTTTGTACTGGAGAGCTGACGTGTACTTTTGGGTTTGGTTTTGATGGGTTTATTTTTTATTTTTGTTTGTTTGTTTTAACTTGGGTTATGTGACCTGTCTTGGGTAGAAATAGGAAGCGAATTTAGATGTCTGGGGTACATGTATAGTGCTTTATTCAGAAACTGCCCTTGTTTTAATGACTGACACTGACAGAAACTAATATCTACAAAATACCTACTGATAAAACTTAAAAGATAGAAACAGGTTTTTCAAAGCTTCTGGTTACTGTCTGAAAACAGATTATTTGCTGAGGATATGGAAACACGATGGATGGGTGGTGTTGCTTGTGGATATGGATAGTGAAAAAATTTTTGTGAAAAAATATAGATGTGCAATATAGTTTTTTATATAATTAAAAAGCCTTAGCAGACAAAGCAAGTTGTAAGCTCTACCTTCATCATGTGTAACTTGCAGGATGCTCAAAAGAGTACACTAATGGATATGGAAATAGCTGATTATGAAAGGCTGGTAAAAGAACTTAATCAGAAGATTACTGATAAAGACAGTAAAATAGAAGATCTTGAGCAAGAAACGAGTATTCAGAAACAGAAGCAAGAGACCCTACAGGAAGAAATAAGTGAGTAAACTATAAACAGCAAGAGTCACTATGGTACAGTAATGGTAAAAAATGAAATTCAGAAACAACTTTTCAAGTCAATGAGTGAGTTAGGTTTGCAGGGAATACTAAACAGTTATACTGGAAAAGTAATTTTGACTTTAAGGAAACTTTACTAGCTTATCATCCAGTATTCAGCAGTTAAAAGCCAATTTGCCTGCCTGATATACTGTTTCCTACCTGATTAAGTTAATCATAAGTTCTGAATGTTGGTGATGGGTTTCATCCTAATATATCACATTCATAAAACTTGACTAGAAATTAAGATTTAATTTCTTCCTATCCTTAAATATAAGTCTTAGAACCATTTCATTTATTTGAAGATCTTTATGATAACTTAGACAAAGCTTACTGTAAGCTACTTGTTTGCAGCTCTTAAGGAATCTGTCAGAATTTGCTTAAATATTTTTCAGTATTTTTAAGGAAATGCAGGAGGGGAAGTTTCCTTTGCATAAAACTGTTGTTTTCTGCATTAGAATTCCTTCAGTCAACTATGCAACAGGATGAGGAAAGAAATGCCAAGATAAAACAACTCCTAGTAAAAACCAAAAAAGAACTGGCTGATTCAAAACAAGCTGTAAGTCCCGATGTTCATGACTGTGTGTTCCATTTTTAAACTAACTTTAAAAAACAGGCTGGTAGCTGAATTAAGTTGCTGAGGTTTGTGTAATTTTATCTTGCAGGAAAATGATCATCTAATGTTGCAGGAATCCTTGAAAGGGGAATTGGAAGCCACTCAACAGCAAGTGGAAGCCTATAAGGCAAGAAACTTCACTTTTTTTTAGTGTAAGGTTTTCTCATTTAAGTAATAAGTGTGTGATTTTTACAGGCACATGGAATATAGGCTGAAGAACAAAAAGGTGTTATTTTTACTACTAGGTTATCATTTCTTAAATTAGTTTTGTCTCTTTGTTGCTTTCCCCAGATATTTTCCCTGTGGCTTTCTTTAAACAGATTTGCAGTCTTTTTCCTCTTTCCCTTTCCAGCAAAGGAGAGGACTATAGAGTTTGAAGCTTGCAACTGGGATATGTTTTAAAATGATTCTTTAAAAATGGAAGTTATTCAGTTTAAAAACAAAATAACATAACATATAGCAAAAATCTCAAGTGTTGTCTGACTGTATAAATTTTGTCAGTTGGGCAGAATAGGAATTGAATGTAATGAAAGTAGCAGGGAAGTGAGAGAGGCTGGCTTTCTTAAATGCTGCCACACCACCATCGTAATTTTATCTTGAATTGTCTCTTTAAGCGACATAATTTTATTAAAAATTATTACATGGTAAGCCATGTCTATTTTTTATTCTATTTTTATTGGATTTTAATTTTCACCAATTCTGTGCAGGAATTACTGTAGTAGATCCTATGGTCTTAGTGGCATGTCCCCTTGGAGAAGAAAACTTTTTGTTACAGTTCAGTTTGCAATTGACTTTTTCAGATTCAAGTGGCTGTGCTGACATCAGAAAAGCATAAAGTTCAGGAACAGCTGCGAACGTCTTCGGAGCAACACCAGCGTATGATGAGTGCTTGCCAGCAAAAAATTGCAACCCTGCAAGAAGAGTGCAGAGCAGCCCAGGTACTCTAGTGGGAGAAGTAATCTTAGAGGCTTTAGAAGGGAGTTTTACTGCACTCACTGTCTGCTTCTCTAAAAATACTTTGCAGACCTTACTCTTCTCCTTTTGTCTGTCAAGAATTGGGAATTATCCCACTGCTTAAGGTATTGAGTGGTGGTATAAAGGACTGTGTCCTGGTTGTCATGTATCACTTGTGGAACATCTGGACTGCACATGTATATTTCCAGTAGGGAAAACCTTGTAGTCATAGTGAGGAGTTGAAGTTTATTTAAGATGATCAGCAAGTACATGTTCAGGGAAAAGAGAAGTCTTTAAAGAAAAGGGGAGAACAAAAAAAAAGGAATATAATTTGCTTCATATAAGACCAGCTAACACAGATACTACTTCAAGAAATAAAAAAAAAGCTGTGAAAAATGTATTTGCCAGCACCTTTTAATATGCTGAAATCTGAGCAGCTTCTTAATTGGCAGCTGAACTACATGCAAAACTTACACTATTGCTGAGGGTTTTTTATTATTTATGGGGGGGTTTGTACATATGGCATTGTGTTAAATGTTCCTAGAATGTAGTGTTTGCGTTGGAGACAGATTCAAAATACAGTAGGACTGCTATGTTCAGACTTCCTTTATGGAGATTACTGTACTACTTTATGGTCTCTGGTGTATGGTAGGTGTGCAACCTGCAGGTCAGTAATAGCTGAACTTTCCAAAATCCTCCTTTTGAAGGTGAGAGCATTTTAGTTATCTTGGGGATGACTACTGAATCCATGAGCTTGTCCTAAGATCCAAGAAAGAAAATGTGCATCTGTGGCCTTTCTAGATTAATACAACATGAGTACTTGAAAGATGGGAATAATTCTTGCTGTATAGTGTACAGTCAAGAATAAAGCTACTATGTTGTGACTCAATTTTCTGAAACTCATGTATCAGCTGAATTTAGAAGACAAGACAGACCAAACACCTTTACAATCAACTAAAATATTATATCTTGTGCTTTGTAATACCACTGCAAGACTGATTTAACTCCTCAGAATTATGCAAAACTTTAAAGCATATTAGATTTTTGTCACCTCAGCAGTATAAGAGGGAAACGGAATTATCTGCCCTTTTTTTCCTTCACATTTGCCTTCATTTAAAGCTGTTGATAGAACCCTTCCTTTGAATCTCTCAGTTGAATGCAGTTTTTGAATGTCCAGGTATTCTTTCTTTTCTTTAATACTAGTATGTTGAAAATTAGTGTCTCTAGTTTCACATTTTGTGATACTCAAAGTCTAAAGAAACATGATCTGTTATGGTAGTCACCGTTTTAATTATCCATTTAAAAGAAGAAAATGCAGCACGTGGTTTTAATTTTTTTTCCCCATGTGAAATGCATTTCGTTTTACAGAAATAAGGGAGCAATACTCAAAAGCATAACTGGTTAAGAGTTTGTTTTCTATGTGATAGGCTGAACAAGCATCTGTTACGTCAGAATTTGAGAGCTACAAAGTCCGTGTTCATAATGTTCTAAAACAGCAAAAGAATAAATCTGCTGCTCGGACAGAGTCTGAAGGAGCCAAACAAGAGAGGTAAAACTAAAATTTCTATATGCCTACAGAAAAATACGGACACTCAAAGTTATTGAGCTTGCCTTTGCTAATTTCTGACCTACAAGGGAATTCCACTGATTAGCTCTTTGCTTCAATATGGAAAATATCAGAAGGGTGGCAGTGTGCTTCCCCAGTTACTTTGGTTTGAATTTTTTTGTTTGGTTGGTTTGGGGCTTTTTTTTTTAATCTAACTGTGGCTCTACCAAGCTGAACAGAAGAAATATCATCCATTTCTACCATGGTGGTACTCTGTTAGTTTCTAATGCCTGGATTTATCTTTTTAACCATTACTTTTGTGTAACCTGTCATTACAGCCAGAGGGGAAGTAAGGTGTTAGGAAGTTTCATAGGAATCTCATGAGCAGAAATTAGCCAGCATATTCTGTGGAGACTTGACATGTCATTTTCTCAGTCATGAAGTATTGTAGCCAAGTGCCATTTGCAACTAAGAAGGAAAGAGCAGGTTGGTACAGTTCAGCTGAGTTCACTTTGAACTTTTTCAGGAATGAATGGTTTAGTGTAGGTAAAGTTCTGGCTGCCAATTCAGTCATCAGTTCTAGCAGATTTATGAAATACTGTTGTCGAATCAGCTGCTGCATGAGGAAAGACTTGGAGGAAAAAGTTACACTTCCAAAAGGTCTCTGAAAATCCTTTTAATTATAGTAATAAGACAGGTAAATTCAAATTAATTTTGGAAAGTGTCTCAATTGACTGTAAAATTCGATCAATTTCTGTAAGTTACTAAGTCATTGATGGCTGCCCTTGGTGACAGACTGGGCGTTTCTTTGTGAGATGCCAAAATTCGTTTCTGACCATCTTCAAACAGTACCTACAATTGCAGCCAAAAATCCACCAGAGGGCGACTTGTGCTTTGTTAGAGGACTTTGGTTTTGCAGTTGGTTTGGGGTTTTTAAAAAAAACTTCCTGTCTTTGAAGCAAGTAAACTGCAACAGTTGCATTTCTGTGTGTCTCCTTTCTGAAGAATTTTAATAAGTTTTAATATTGTTATTTTTTTGTGAGAGAGAGTCACCTTGGAAACAAATTGGTCAAGCAATAAACAGATGAGAAATGGTTCCAAAGAAATTATTTATAAGTATCAACTCTAAGATTAATGAGATATACAATTTATAAGATAATGCAGATGTCTGCATATATAAATACAGAAAGCATAAAAAGAGAATGTATGTCACTTAAGACTCTTTCTTCCTTGTGTATCTAATTTTGATTTGTTTCTGACCAACTGAGTTTATCTGTTTTTATAAATTTGATCTTGCTTCCTAGTACTTTGCTCAAAATATACTCCAACCATTTGTCCCCTGTATTTGGTCTCATTGAACTGATGTGCATTTACTAAACAAACAAAAAAAAAGCCTCTACCACTTCTAAGAAGAAATCTTTTCTCCCAGCTGAATCCCACATATTATTGTCCTTCTGTCTTGTCCCCCCAAATCAGCTTGAAGTAGAAAGTGATATCAGTCACTCTTTCTACCCCAATAGTTGCATTCCCAGCGGTTCAGATGGGATGTGGTAAACCTATTTGTTCCTATATTGAGACAGGATCAGAACTTTGCTAATTGCTTCTTCCATAGTCACATTCTAAGATATTTTGGTCATGGTGCTGTATTGATTTAATTAATAAATAAGCAATTGGGATCAGCTATCTATTATGTTGTTTCTATAGTATAGGTTCTTAATTATTCTGTAATTATTTTAAAATGTATGTCGTGTATTTCTTTTTTTTCCACGTGCAGAGAACAGTTGGAAATGGTGATAGATGAACTTAAAGTTAAGCTGCAAGATGCTCAGCATAACTCACAGATGAATGCATCTGAACTCCAGGCACTGCAGTCTGAACACGACACCCTGCTGGAAAGACATAATAAGATGCTGCAAGAGACTGTTGCAAAAGAAGCAGAACTCCGTGAAAAGTATGTTCTGCTGATGAATAGACACAGATATTTTATTTTGTGTGAACTTTAAGAACTGGACATGTGTGTAACTGTATTTCTCCAAGAAAGGGCATATTATTGAGAAAGTTAAAGGAATTTTCAAAAGGATTGTTTGCTATTTTTCATGAGCCATCAGAAGTTTCAATAATGAAAATGAAATAGTAGCAGGGAATTTGAGACTTCTGCAAGCTTTCTACCTCTTAACTATCAGATTTAAAAATTAACATTTTTTTAAGCACATTGACTATTTTAAAGTCCAGTGCTCAGCACTACATTTGTGTTGTACTGCTCAACTAAATTACAGGGATGTTTCCTATTAAAAAAATAGGCAGAGCAAACAATTTCACTGACAAAATACCCAGTCCTGTGTTCACCAACTGCCTTTCTTGCAGAAAGTATTAGATTTTAAGTCTGTGCTTGCCACAGTCTTAATTTGCTGTTTCTTTCAAAATGAAAGGAATCTGTTTAATCTGTATGACATCACATGAGTACCTAGTACTTGAGCTCCTCACAAAGGGTCTTTCCCTTGTCTGTAGAGGGTACAAAGAAGTTTACATGAAATATTCATTAAAAATTACAGCTTGGTATTAGGAACTGTTGACTTCTTGTCACCATCTTTGTACAGTTTTATCTGTTCCTGGTAGCCAGATGATGGCTCACTATAATCAACCAAATTACGTCCTGCATTTTTCTGGAAACAACCCACTTTACCATAGGTTCCCTTTATACCTAGAGAGACTGCTCTTTGACATGCTGGCTCTATTTAAGTCTTTAGGCTTACAAGGGCAAGTCCTGTGCTTAGTCTTTCCATACATGCACTTGTTTAATTGCTTGTGACAATTTTGTTGTGCTTCTGGAGTACCTCCAAACCAGAAAAAAAACCCAACAATTGGCGAGTTACTGACATTTTTCTTGCTAACAGCTACACTTTTCTGCCCTCTTCTGCACTGAAAGTTGAGGCTTAAAAAATTAAACTTAGCTTCTTAGAAACCTGGGATTTCAGAAGCTCTGCATAAGTATTTCGTAAATAAATGTTATAAGAAGTGAAGTAGAAGGTAAGTGACATGCCCTGTATGACACTATAAACACAGTCATGTTGCAATTCTAGAATTTAAGAAGGTTTACAGCACCATGTCTCTAATACTTTTTTTTTTTTTCCGCAAAGATGTCTGAATTTTGTGTTCTAAAATAGAAATCGAGAGTTTATATAGCACAGTGCATCCAAATGATAGGTAATCAGCATAATGTCTTCAGTCTTAGATTTTCCCTGTAGAAAGAGGAATTTAAATGGAAAAAACTTGCGTGGTCATTCTAAGATAATCATACACATAAAAATTGAAAGCTGCTTCAAACTCTAAAAATTTTGAAATTAAAAATTACAGAGTTTTGCTGTGTGTTTCTTACTGTTTGTGTGTATGCTGTTTTCAGACTCTGCACAATACAGTCTGAGAACATGGTCATGAAAACAGAGCACGCCCAGATGTTGAGTCAGCTGACAGCCCAGAATGAAGCTCTTCGGAACAGTTTCAGAGATCAAGTCAGGAACCTGCAAGAAGAGCACAGGAAAACAGTAGAGACACTTCAGCAGCAACTCTCCAGAGTAGAAGCTCAGCTCTTCCAACTCAAGAGTGAACCAAGTACTAGAGGTAACAGTACCAGGGTTTCTTGAGTTAGTTACAAATTTGTGCACCTGAGTCTGAATCTAAAACCTGCTTACACTGTGTGATTCTGTAAATTACCAGAAACCTTTTCTGGAGACACTGCAGCGTGCTGTATCAGTCCACAGATACCAAGTAAGGAACGTGTCTTTGTTATTACTTACTGTCCCTTCAGAATCTTAAGGTCCTTGAATACATCCACGGGAGGGCAGCAAAGCTGCTGAAAGAGATGGAAAGACTGTCTTGTGAAGAGTGGTAAAGAACTCTGGGTTTGTCTAGTCTGGAGAAAAGGAGGGAGGGGCAACCTCATCACTATCTTAGAGATTCCCGAGGAGGGGAAGCGAAGAGGCAAATGCTGAGCTCTTCTCACTGGTACCCACTGATAGGATGTGTGGGAATGGTTCAGATCTGCCTGGGGGAGATTCAGACTGGACGTTAGGAAGTATCTCCTTACTAAGAGAGTGGTCAAACCCTAAAACAGCCTTCCTAGCAAGGTGGTTGATGCCCCAAGCCTGTCAATGTCTAAGAGGCATTTGAACAATGCTCTTGATACCTTTTGGTCAGCCCTAAAGTGGTCAGGCGGTTGGACTAGATGATCATTGTAGGTGCCTTCCAGTCTGCATCCCTGTTATCTATTCTGCAGTGTCTGCATTGTCAGACAGATGAAGGGAAATTACTTAGGTTGTCTCAGGTTTTGGAGTATACCAGACATCCGCCTCAAGTACGAGAGGTGAAGCTAAAGAAAAGTGTATTGAAAGCTGTTTCAAGAATGTTTGTTACTGGTATACTTGCCATTTGATCCCTCTTCTAATTTAAGATTTTACTGTCTTCAGGCTCAAGTGTTATTTTTGTATCTGTAAAGTTACTAACCAGGATGTAGTTGGACATTTGCCAAGCAGCAGTAACAGTTTAAGAAGTTAGTCTATTACTGAAGCAGAAGGGTCCTGCACACAGTATTAAAACAGAAGACTTTATGCCTCCCACAGGACTGGTTGAAATAAAAGCTGATTCTGTTACGCCTTAAAAATATTTGTCACTCTGATCATAGCTACAACCTATTTTCAGGGAGAGTTGCATGAAGATTTCATAGTCACTGAAATAAAAATTGCCAATAAATTTTAGGTTTAGAAACAGGCTTTGATTGTAATGATCATTTGGAGGTGAAAGGCTGTATTTTTCTATTATAAATGTTATGTATCTGGCTTTCTCTTTTTTCTTCACCTGCATTTTGAAGACTAGTTTGTGTACTGTCCTCAGTCTGAGACAGTCACATCTGTGAAACAGCCCTCCTGATTTCATGCTGATGACAAACATCAGGAAGTATCTTTCAGGTCCAGCTGTTTCAAATCCAGGAACGAAGAACTTGAGAGAACGGCGAAACACTGACCTTCCTGTTCTCGATGTGCACACTGTAGCTAGGGAAGAGGGAGAAGGTATGGAAACAACAGACACAGAGTCTGTCTCTTCAGCCAGCACCTATGTACAATCCTTGGAACAACTTCTGAACTCATCAGAAGCAAAACCTGGTAGGTAGAACGTGGCTTTTAGAAGCACTTGCCTACATAAGTTGCAGAAGTTTCTTCCCTCATATTTTCATGCTTTTAGGTGCAAGACACAAGTCTCCTTAGGTGTCACTGAGTTTACACTGTCCTGAATTTCTGTAGGAGTTTTATTCTTGAATAAGGACTAAACTTGCTACTGTAAAATAAAACATTACTACTGGTTTTAGTAATTTAAAAATGTCATATTTCTGAGTTTCTAAAGGGAAAAGACTGGATGAGCAAGCAAGTGAATAGTTGGCAGAATTTTTGTATTCTGAATGAGTCTATACTAGGGACAATTAAGTGCTGATTTAAGCTGATTAATGAAAGGATAAAATTTCTGTTCTTCTCAATGAGGCTAATTAGAGCAGGAATTTATTCATAGGTTTCTTTCTAGGAAAATGAAAGCCATCATGAAGAACAATGTTCTAAAAATACCCCCAAAGCCAGAAAAATACATGGTAGCATTTAATCATGATTTAAAAATCTACTGAACACTTTGTAGATAACTGTTGAAAATCTCTATCTAGGGGTAGGAAACAACAGATAATTAAAACTATATATCTTGATGTATTCTAGAACTGTTTTGCCAGTCCCCTTCTAATATATAAACAAAAATAGATTAGAAAATAAGCATGCAGCAGCAGTATTGATGCCTGTTAAGTCTGCAGTCTGACTTTGCATGAATTCTGTTTATAAGGAACTACATTAATCAAGTCCTGACGTTAAGTTAGTATGAGGTAGATGCAAGTGCTTTTTCCTTCTCTTAGTTTTCTTTTCCAATTAATTGCAGAACCATCTCAGTGGCAAGCAGAACTGACCAAGGATGAACTGATTCAGAAACTAAACACAACAGCGAAGAGTGCTGATCACTTAAATGAATTACTTCGTGAATCAGAAGCAACCAATGCAATCCTAATGGAACAAATAAAGGTTAGCAGACATGCAAGACATGTGAGGACAGCTCTAATTTCCACGGTCTGTTTCTTAGACCAAATGTTTAACACCCAATACGTTTCAGAAAATCCCAGTCTGCAAAATTTCGGTGATGCATAATTTAATTCTGGAGGAGCTTTTATTGCACAGGTCTAATTAGTGCTTCCAGAGTTGACTTCAGTTTTTTGGTTTGGATGGCTTTTTTTTTCACCACAGTTTCTACTTGGGTGGGAAGGCGGGGTAGGGGGAGAGGAGTGTGGAGTAAAACTTTCTACAAAAAAACCTGAAGAGTTTGTAAGTTTAATGTTTAGTAAAGGGTCTCTACTGTTTTCACTTAGAGAAAAGCAGTAAACCCCAAGGGAAGCATTGTCTGGTTTCTCTTCCTGTAACCCCTTTTAGCTGTCTTACGTTAAAAGAAGATATGTGTACTATTGTATGAGTTTGGTTTGATTTGATTGCACCTCCCTGAGGCTTTCTTTTCTAAAATGTTTCCTAATGAATGATAGCATCAGTTCTCTTGATATATTTAACTGTTCCACTCTTACTACTCTTTATCACTGAAATTGTTACAACTACTGCACAAATTTTATCAAAAAAGGTTATTTTTGATCAATAATAAGTTATTTCTGTACAATATTATCACATGTTCAATTTTCACTGGATTCTTGTTCTGAATACATTGTATGCACACATTCTTTTTGAAGCAATATGTGCAATTAATTTATTAGGTCTTCAGAAGACCTTTGTTCAGTTGCTCGTTGTATGAAGCAAACAATATTGCATATTTTTCCCCTCATCTGCAGCTTCTTAAGAATGAAATAAGAAGACTGGAAAGAAATCAAGAGAGAGAAAAGTCTGTGGCTAATTTAGAATACTTGAAGAATGTTCTACTGCAGTTCATATTTCTAAAATCAGGAAGCGAGAAAGAGCGGCTGCTCCCAGTAATAGACACCATGTTGCAGCTCAGCCCTGAAGAGAAGGGGAAGCTGGTTGCAATTGCCCAAGGTATGTGGTGTTCAAAATATTGTCACAAAAAAAGGACAAGTGGATATAAAGGCAACTGGAGTTGTATGCTTTCTGTTGTGTAGACCTTTGAGGGAAAACAAAACTTAGCAAGGTATGCTAGCAAGCTAGTCATAAAACCATTTTGCTTTGTTGGGAAATCACTATTCAGTGTTCAGGAAACAGAACAAATACCCTAAAATATAAATAAAATTAAGGTGAAATATCATTTCTTCTGAAATATGCACATTTTAGGAAGAATATATAGTATGTTCTATAAATTTAATGTGTTCATGTTTTGAGTAGAGTTAAAAAAATTTTTGTCAAAATAGAGGTTAATATAATTGAAATACTTTCTTGGCAGATGTTCCAAACAGGTAACTAAAGTGGTCCTCTCAAGGCAGTACTGCAGATCTAATATTAGTTTCTATATATTAACTGTAAAAATAACTTAAAGAAAATATGGTTTTTGTTCAAGAAATTAAGGAACTAGGGAAGGAAATAAAAAGAGTTAAGCATTTGCAAGAAATAAACCCAGGAACTATGTGTATAATAATGTTCTGGCTCTGCTTCAAATACTCCCCTTAAAACGCTCTTTAAAGTATTGTTTGTCACTTCTCAAAAGCGATAACTGTAGCTTCCTGTACATCATTAACAACAGACCTATACTTTATTTAAAAATTAATATAAAGAGTAAGCACCATGTGTCTATATTACTTTAAGCACTTACAAGTTATGAACAAAATCACATTAAAAAGAGAAGCGTTTCATGCATTCCGTGATAGGCTGTGCATTTGGAAAAATTAGATGTTTTGATGTTGTTCTGGCCCTCTAATGAAGACTGATTGAATTTTTGTGGAGAAAGGTGATATGGCCTTTTTTCAAACATCCTTAAGTACCCAAAGTGGACTTGGTGATAAATCTATGAACATATCTGTGGCAGCCCAAGAGCGAGTTCCCTCCTCAACAAGTTTGAGGACAGCATTTGAAAAAGGATTGAGGTGGGGAGGGGGGGCAAGGTCATGTAACCAAATAATGCAATGTTGCAATGTCTAACATAATAAACTGAAATGTTTTTCTTCCTCCTTCAGGTGAGGAAGAGAGTACCTCACGGCCCTCTGGGTGGGCTTCGTACCTCCACAGCTGGTCAGGACTTCGATAAAACAGTGGAAACACTGAATCTTTAAACACATTCCACAACTGCAAAAAAGAGAAATCTTATTGTAGAAAATCTGTTGGTGTTGTAGCGTTGAACTAAAGGGTTTTATTTTTGTGTGTAACTTTCAGTTTTCTAGGCTCTTCTAAGAAAGAAGCCTGCAGTAGCCCTGAAAGATGGTTCTACATTATGCTCTGGCAACAGTGAACTATTTTTCTTGTAAATGTTAAAGGTGATGATAAGAACTATGAGAAATGACAAATTAATTGCAAATTGCCTGGCAACAGAATTTAACAAAACTGTAATGGCTCTTTTGATATAAATTCAAAAACTTGATCTAATATATGAACTGGAATAACTAGACTTTAGAATTAAAGCATTTAAAAGGATTTACAGTTGCTTTCACGTATTGTTGTCAGTTAGCTAATCTATATGGTTAGTGTTATACTCTGCATGTTTTAGAAATTTGAAATTATTTCCTCACTGGTGATGGTTACAAAATATAAGATAATTAAGAAACAGAAAGGGCATTTTCTGAACTAAAGTTTTAGTCTTTGTTAAATTATTTTTTTTTTGCAAAAGCTAGATTGAAATATCAAGGCGATGGTTCACAAAATGTAGCGGGTGCATAAATCTCTATGAAATACAATGCTTGGCTCATCTGGGCATGGTACTGTAGTAGAGATTAATGACATTTATGGAGGTCTTAGGATATACTCCAAGATCAGAGGTCTTAAGTGAGCTGAAGCTTTTGGAGAAAGGGCTTAAGCTATGGCTTTTTAACCTGAAGTCGGAAGTTTGTGGAAAAGACTAGGAAGAAATGTTCCATTACTATAGCGATGTCCATACTTAGATGAAAAGACTACCCATACTGACTATTTGAAGACACTAAAGAAAGAATCTGAGTCCATAGGTCAGACTTCTAGCATTAACTTCTAAGAGAACAGGATGGAGCTTTTCTCAATAGGTGCATTTTTTTAAATGGTCTGATGACTGAAGGTATTACACCTTTCTCTCACTTATCTGTGTGTGCACATGTTATTCACACAGATCTTTTGCACAGATGAGATAATCTCTGTTCTGGATTACTCAACAGAATGTTATGGTTTTTTCTGAGAAAAATAAATCTTTACCATCTCTACTTCTTTTATCAACACAGCACCTTTTTTTACTTTCAATTCTCTTCTCCCCTTTACAGTCCATACTACCTTTCACCATCTTAATTTATTTGTAAGTTATTAAAATGCATACATATATGTTTATATCCTGTTTATGTTTCAACTAGAGTCTTTCCATACTTTTCACTCATATTTTCATGCTCTCTGTGCTATTTTGCAGAGAATCATTCTGCAGTACACATACCAATACTAAATAGCATTCTTCCTTTCCTACCTCTCTTGGTTGAGGCTCTGAGGAAATGATGCTTGTTCCTTTAATATTGCCTTATTTAGGGCTGAGATTAATCTGGACATATGAACAGCAGAAAGTCAACACATTGAGAATAAACTGTTCAGTTAGTGTACTTTTGGTTTAATTTTTTGTTTCTTGTATATATTTCAGTACACAATCAACAAAGCTAATGGGCTTTATTTAGGTATTTTAATTCCTTTCCATCTTAGGCATTTTTTTTTTTTTACTTCCCCTCCAATATGTGTTTTAACTGGAACCCTTGTGGTTTGTGCTACCGGGGAAAACATTCTCTGTGGACTTTCAGATCACAGAACTGATGGTAAGTAGTAGTGTGAGGGATGAGTCTTTTAGATGTCTGTAAGTATCAAACATGAGGTTACATTTAGTCTTTCTTGCATTGGCCTTCGGAAGGATTTACCATCTTTAGCATTCACAATTTGCACCAGATCTCAGATGTTGAGTTCTAACGCTGTTCATAGCTGGGTTTGGTTAATGTCACTCAAAGGAATGCCAAAACACAGTGACGGGAGAGATTTGAAGTATGTATAAAAATAAGTGCAAGTCATTCTCCTGCTGTGATTTCAACAATGGAAGCACATAAGTAGAAGAGTACAGCTTTTTCTTACTTAGTTCACACTCCATTTGCAGCTGATCTGATTTAGTCTCTGCTATTGCTGAAGAGCTGTGACAAGTTCCTCTTAAAATGCACATATTTCAGAACTGTAAATTATTTAACATTGTAAGCTGTGAATAAATGTATGCAAGTAACATATATCACTGGTTGTATTAAATACCGGTTGCTTATTGACTTCTTTCAAGTCTGAGTTGCATGCTCACTGTTTTTAGTAAAACTTGAGTACTGTACTTATGAATGTAGTGAACAACTTGCATTACTTTTTTTTTTTTTTTTTACAATGGAAGATTGAAATCTTAATTAATGTAAAAGTATTTTAATAACAGTTACTAAACTGTGTTCTGTTGCTGAGATTGCCAGGACTTACCTTTGTGGTAAGCAAATAAATCAGAGTTTAATAGACATTTGCAGTAAATGGCATAGAAGAATGTGAACTGGAAGCAGGATTATTTTGCATAGAAAACTTTTTATATGTCATATATTTGCATTTGTAATGTACAGCATTGTAGCTGTGATTTGCTTTCAAAAAGCAGTTTGAAGTAACTAGTACTGCTGCTTCTTGATATTCTGTGGTGCTCATCTTTTGGAAGAGCACTGTGCTAACTCTGCTTTCTGGTTCTTTTTGTTTTCTTTACAGTGCCGTGTTTGTTAGAATGTTTCCTAGAAAATGTCACCCTTGCCCAAAGAGTTTATAAGCTTAGGACCAATTTTTATCTTCTATCAGCCTGCCTTCAGCCCAAGCCTAAGGAGGGCATAATAATAATAATAATAATAATAAAGATTCTGCTGTCACTATGCAGAGTATATTTATTAATTAAAAACCAAAAATGGGAGTAATTCAGAATTCCCAGACCTACGTGTGCACTGCGGCTGAATTTTTAACTACCTAATGCTGACTTAGAAACAGGTTGTATACCCTTCATGTTCCCTTTACCCTAGAGAGAGACTCATCTGTGCAAGCAAAAGTGCTCCAGCTGAAAGACAGGAAGACCAGAGCTTGTCAGGCTGTTGTGTAGATGTGGCCAGTTGTAGTTGGGGTTCATGATGGCCAAAGGGAACCCATGGTAGAAATGATACACGGAAAAGTAGAGTTGCTTTTTTCTTTCGTGACCCTCCCTCCCCAAAGTACAACTGAGAATACAGGGTTAGATAATTTTCTAAACTTACATTTTCCCTTGGCTATCTCCCTCCATCCCTTTGCTTTGATAGGAGATGATATATCATGAAATTGTGGAGGAATGCTTAAAAACTCTCCTTAGTTTGTACTAAGTGGCTTTGAACCACCTATGCTTCATTTGACTTATGCCTTGGCTTCACCCAGTGCACCAATACTTCCTCAACTACCTGCTACTTCCATTATTACTGGTACTGTAAAAATATCTCCCTTAGGAGCCTTGTGAATAGCAGTCTCCACCCACAAGCTGAGAAACCAAATGTATGAAGAGGTTAAAATATATTTGTTGTAGTAATTTCAGAACTGGTAGTCTGGATAGATAAGTGTTTTGGTTGGAAATAATGTTTTTGATGGTCTTTTCATGTGGCCATCACTTCAATAAAATTCATCTTTACTCAACAGAGTGCCTTTCTTTTTACCTGAATACCTATTCTTACCTGAGAAAATGTTACAGGTGCAAGGTAGAAAACAAGGGGATGATTACCAATGTATTAAAGATACTTTATGGATCTAGTATAGTATCCACAGCTTTTACTTTAGAAGATTAGAAGAGCAATGAAGTCATCTGGATGAATGGAAAAGAAATTGTTTTGTTATGGGTGGGGGTTTTTTAGAATTTTTTTTTTTTTAAAAAAGGTTCATTTAAATTACTTCAAATGTGTTGCTAGATTGTTACCAGCAATCTGACAATATCTGACATGAAGGAGAGGAGGGATGCAGAAGCTAATAATGTCTGTGTTAAAAGGATTGCACTTAGTATGTTTATTTTAAGTACGAGAGACCTAATAAATCAGCACCCCCTTCTAATAGCAGTCAACTTTGAATGACCTCTTCCCTAATTCCCTGTGATAATTTTTCTTGATCTGCATAGTTGTCCTAGTGCAAAGATTAGATCTTCTATGGATGAAGAAGGAGGTGGTTGGTTTGTTTGCTTGATTTAAGGGAGTTTGGTGTGTTTATCTTCTTACCAACCATTTTTCTTAAGTTGTACATATTATACAAATACATGGTCAGGGAGGGGGATCATAAGCTGCAAAAAGAAAACATAATAAATGGATATAAGAGTCAAAAAGAAGCCTGATACAGTCAACTTCTAGCAGCTTTCACATAAATATATATGCTACAGGGAAGGGAAATAATAATCTGATTGCTTTTAAAACTGAATTTGATTAAAATTTGTCATATGGTTGTGCAAGGTTGAGAAGGTATGTCTTAGATTCAAGAGATTTCTTACTGTCCTGTGTTCTTCAGGCTCATCCTGAGGATCAAGGCTGGCTTGAATAATTAAAACTGAGGATAGTAAAACAAAGAGTGGAAATGTGCATCAGTTACTGCTCCAACAATTCAGTTCACCTTGGTATTAGCAAATCGTTTATTTTTTGCTGTCAGTTAAATGCCTGAAGGCTTCTTACGAATCCAAGGTGAATGTAATCAGTGTAAAAAACAGTATGCTCTTTTGGGCCTGGGCACACTCCCCGTCCTCTTAAAATGGCCTTTGAAAGTGTTTTAAATTCACAGACATTGGATAGCAGCTGTATATGAGTATAGGATTTAAGCCCAGTTTATTGTTTCATTGCTTGAAAATCGAAGCTTGTTCTGAGAGCATTCAGACTGTTTCCGGAGGGGAGGTACATATCAGCTCTTGGATCTCGCCCTTTGCACCATGCAGAGCATCTCAAATATAAAAACCATAGAAACCGTTACAGAGCTCCAGACAAAAGCTTTTACTTAAATACTGCTTTACTGTTGTTATTGCCGTTTGTGGAGTTACATTGCTGATGCTCAGTGTTACTCTCGCCAAGGGAGAATGCCAATCCTATCAGTTTGGCTTTAGCACCCAAATATTTATACAGACTCGGTAAATCCCCTCTCACTAGTAGTCACAGCATTTACTTAGCCCTGCAGCTGCAGCAATCCCGGTGAAGCTGCCTTTGCAGGGGGACAGGTGGGTGGTCCCTTCACTCCACGGGCAGAGGGCTACAGCCTATGGAACAGTGGGAAGAAAAGCAGCTGGTGGTGATAAACACTTAAAACAGCTCATGTTGTTGATGTGGCGGCTTTCTGTCCCTGCCCGAACATTCCCCACCAACCTTTCTCTTGGAAACCGGTTAAACCAGTTGTTTGCAGAGTGGTGGGAGATTGTGGATATATGAAATGTATCTTGCAGGTGGGGGATTTTCAGAAAACACAGAAAAGCTAACAACAGTTTTTATAACGTTCTGAGAAGGATAGGAATTGCAGTGACAAAAAGCTTAAAATAGAAAAATGACACACTTAAATGAAAAATATGAGAATAATACCATGATAGCCAAAAGTCATTAAGTTATTTCTTAAGGGACATGTTTTGTGGTGCTGCTATCAGCTTTTCCTTTAGCCATTATTGTGCCTGTCCAATTACTGACCTTGTCACAAAGCAGAAATTTATGCTGCTAACTATGGAATTTTAATGATCAATTTTGCAGGGGGTTGAGATTGGTCTATAAAAGTAATATCCCTGTTCTTGCACAGTCTCCTTCCCTCTTTCAAGAAATGGTGACAACAAATATACTATGTGTGTCTAAAATGCATGAAGCAGAAATCTAACTGCTTTTATAAAAATAATTTGTTACTTGTGAATTCCTTAACAGCTTTGCTAGGAATATTTAGCTGGACACCCTGTGTTCAAAAATTATTCATACTTACCCGGTCAAAGTTTCCTTCATTGCTGCTTTAACTTCATATCTTTGGAGGTGTGACATGAAGAACACTGACCCAGTTTACAATTTAATTCCATTGATTGTACTAAGATAAACAACCATGGGACTGCTCTGCTAATAGGCACTCGGAGTCAGGGTAGGCTTAAGATTGAATATTAGAAAGAAATTCTTAACTGTGAGGGTAGTGAGGTACAGGAACAGGTTGCTGTCATTTGTAGTCACAGAATCAATTGTTTTGGAGAAGACCTCAAAGATCATTGAGTCCCACTGTTAACCTGGCATTGCCAAGTCTACCTCTAAACCATGTCCCTAAGTGCCACTGCCAGCTGCCATACAATAAGTTTGGAATTTCAACAGTGATGGAAGATGTAAACATGTTCTGGAAACAGAACATCAAAAGCATATGGCTACTTAAAATTGCATTTTATGCTAGTCTAGCAGGGAGAGATGGAAGGCAAAAAAAAGATGGATTAATTTTGTGATTAATGTGCTGGTCGGGAGACATGGAGTCCAAATTCTCTGCTTTGCCACATGCTTCCTTTGTGAATTTAATTTCGGTTTGTCTGTCTCTGTATCCTGGCTTGTCTGCTGGGGATAATGGCACTTCTCCACCTGATGCCAAGTAAATTAGCAGCATAAAGTTAAACTTTGTGAGGGCTTTGTAAGCAGAAATAAGGAGGCAGATTACCATTTTTTTTTAAACTGCGTAGGAAGAAAATGGTCGTAGCCTTCATTATACTAGAATGGAAGGGGTTATCTTTTTCTTTTAAGTTTGTGGTGTGTGTTTGTGAATCCTATTAACCTATTTGCCTGAGTATTCTGGACTGAATTTTACAAGATAATTAGAATGCCAGCATGCTCTAATACTAGGTAATGGACAATTAATAACAATTAAGAATTGTTATTTCTGTTGTACAGCAAGACACAACAAAAATTTAAATCAGACCCCAAGGTGCAAACTTGCTACAAAGTGCACAGAGCCTGGGGCAGCAATCTATGAAACTGAATTCCTGGTTTTTCTTCGTACAGTGTTTCCGAAAGCTGCTGCTACTTAGTGTTTGGCATAAGTACATGTTTGGGGGATGCTCTCCAGCTCTCTATAGAATGCCTTTGCTACTTTAAGATTATATTACTAGCAGACTGGGCTCTAGGGATTTCATTTTTAAAAGCTCTGGAAAACTGCACATGGTGCAATTCGCTTGCCGTTAAATCTATTAATGTGCTCTCCAAAGGAAGTGCCGTAACGGCTGCAGTAGTTGGCTGGCACTGCCTGTTAATTATTTCCAGAATTTACTGTTTTGGAGTTTGCTGCCCTGGTAGTCATATGCCTGCCCAGCCACCTCCCCCCCAGTTTCAGGCTGTGCTGGTCAGAGGTGCTGCTCCTCAGCTGGGCTCAGCAGCCAGGGACAACCGTCTTGTCCAGCTCCCCAGGAGGACTTGCAATGGGAGAGGCCCTGAAATCCTTGCAGAAGAACTGAGGTTAATTAAAGACATTCATAGAAGCTGTCTACAAGTAATGGCAGACTGCCCAAAGCTGATTAGAAAAAAACCAAAAGGGTTGTATTACTTTCATCTGGCACAGAATGAGTACTTACTTATTTAGATGCTATAAGAAAGCTCTGCTGACAGACTCATTAAAATGAGTGGGTGGTTTGGGTTTGTTTTTGGTTTGGTTTTTTTGGGTTGAGGGGTTTTTTTTGAGGGGGGGGGTTGTTTTTTAATATAATTACAGAATGGTTGAGGTTTGTAGGTACCTCT